CATAGAAGAGGACTTTGTATTGTGAGGGCTGGCTGTAGCAAAAAAAAAAACCCCACCTTTCTGCTAAAACAGCACCAAGACAACACACACAATTCCCCAAGCAAAATTTACTTATTTTTTTATTGACAGTCTCCAGGATACACATTTAATATTTCCTGGCCTTCTGAGGTTTTCTGCACTACATTTACAGTAATTACTTTTGTGATAGCAAATACCTGGGTAGAACAAAAGCATCTGCATTTGACAGCTACATTGCTCCAAAACACCAACCCACCTGCTTCTTTTTGAGTCTTTGTGTGTAGAATAGCAGCTCTTCCCAAAAGTTTTCTGTTATTTCTCTTTAAAACTACTTTTGAGACTCTGAAAGCAACAGAACAGTGACTTATAGTTTAGGAAAAAAAGGAATATTAGCAACTATTAATTTAAGAGAGTTACGACTCCTGCAGAACTGCTACAGATACAAAGATGTGATCATTTAACAAAACATTCACCACCGCATTGGGCAGCGATTAGCAGTTGTTGTACGTTATGCCAGAAAAATGTATTGTTCTAACTTAATGGGGAGCCGTCCAGGAGACAAAAAACAAGCTGGCAAACAACAGAATACATTTTGATAAGCAGTCTGGGAGCAATTATAAAGCAATAAAGTATCCATAAAATTGATATCCTATTTCCAACCTCAGGCTAGGTACAGACCTTAATTTATTTTTTTTTTCCAATGCTGGGAGCTAACCAATTAGAGCTAAAAGATGACCACAGAGCCAAACAGCCTCTGGAAGAGTGGGCGAGTCAGGAGGACAAAGTTAATTTTACATGAGCAAAACAGGAAGGAGGAAATATTACCAGCTGAAGATAAAGGACCATGTCAGACAGGCACTGTGGTGGGTTCTGCAGGCTGACAGACCTATGGGACTTCTGCATGGAACATTGCGAGGTGTGAATAAAGGCTTTAAAAAGGGAAATTCTTTCTAAATCAACAATGCATTATTTTAAGAAGATCACCTGGAGGGCAGGAGGGCTGCTTACTAATATTATTTCCTCCAGGTAAAAGATTTATTCCTGAGACAAGCCTGGGGAGGTAATCACAGCCAGTCCCAAGTAGAACACGGCCAAAAAGGCTGGCCTTTTGAGTTGGAAAAAAATTGAAGGAATCCGTCTTAAGAAAAGCTTATGATCAGCATCATTGACCTGGAGGGGAGATACCTTACACTATCAGGAGTCTTCTCTCCCAAATGTGCCAGAGATAGTGCTTTGAAATATATACCAAAATCGACTGTTGGTACTGCATTAATTAACTTCTTCTAAAAGCATATCAACATTGACAGGATGTAAAAACACCGAGTTTTATCCCAGGCAGTCTGCCTCCATAGGAGTCAGCAATTTTTCATGTGATACCTTCAATGTAAAGGTTGCTATTATTTATATCTTTTATAGTCATGGCAAGGCAGCGTTATTTCTTCTGTTTCACTCCATCTTGCTAGCTCTCGTTTTTCGTCTATCCAGTCTTCCTCTGTCATTGCTTGACAGTATATCCAAGTGTCCAAAGTCAGTCACTGACTGACTGTAATGCATTTGTTACTATATGCTATCTTTCAAGCAGAAGTGATCTTCCTAAGTTCATTTCTCTAAACAATTTGTGCTTTTGGATATCCAGCTGTTCTTCAACATCCTTCTCCAACAGCTTGATCCAAAACATTCCAGTATATCTCTCACTGTATTCAGTGTCTAGCTTTCGTATCCCTCCTCCCTATGCACCATACCGACCACTGAAATGTCAAGTAACTGCTTAAGTTTAAACTTCCCCCCAGGGGCACTTTTAGACACATTTGGGTCAGTATTACGGGGTTCATGCCAAAGGATGTTGTGTGTTAGTTGAGCAATGCAGTCTATTTTTTCCAAGTGCTTCAGCCACTAACCAACTACATGACATCCTGACGATTACTTCTATGAAAATAGAAAAGCAGGAAGAAACTCATCTTAATTGCATACACTCAGAAGCCAAAGAAACAGTATGAGATGTCTGTAGTTTGGGCCAGCTAAGACCTTAATTTTTCATGTATTATTCTTTCTTTTGTTTAGGATATACATCCAGGTAATACTTACGGTTTTTTGGCATTTAGAGAGCCCTAAGGTCCCTTAATGCAGCTTTCACCTTCTTTTCTCCATACATGCCATCAAACTATGCTTCCAAAAAAAGTTGTCATTAGGAAGGGAGCCCCCAGGCACCACATTACACAGTCGCCTGGTTCATATCAATGTGAATTAGGAAAAATAATCAACCATTTTTAACTACAGCTTTAAAATCATGCAGTTGAACTTGCCTATACTGTTTACATGAAGCATCCTGTAGTCATTCCATGCAGTAGTAAAATTTACTACCATTTTTCTATAAGGCAGTAACAACTGGAGATACACAATAGCATCAGGTCTTTCTCCCTTCAAAGAGGTTTTACAAAGCCTTAAAGCCCTCCTAGCATAAACTGTACCTCAGACCTCTACAAAGTCTGAAACAGTTTGAAATTTGGTACAAACTATAGATGTATTCTGTTACTCTTCTTGCTTCCCCCTCATCACTGGATTCTCCTCTTTTTCTTCAGAAATGCTTTTTAAAAAAAAACTTTATTTTTTTCTGTCTTGCAATTCTGATACTCTTTCTCCATTCCCTCACTCATGAGTTACTTGCTGGCTGGTTTAGAGAAAGACCCACACCGAGACAGGCCATCCATAAGACCAGAGTCAAGAAGCCAGCCCCTACTCCTGCATCCCCCTGTGAATGAGTCTCACTGCCAACAGTGTTGTGTACCACAGTGCATGCAGGGAGCAAAAACGGGTTCTTCCAAGAGCACACACTCTAGTAAGTCTGTGTCTAGGAGTAAGTATGAACCTGTGGCTTCCACTACCAATATTAATAATTTCTATCAGAAACAACCTATTCTGCTACTCCTTGCAAGACTGGCACTGATAGAAGCATAGGAGATAATATTCTTTCCTGCTTTGGGGAAATCAGATTACCAGACAGCACAAAGGAACCCACCCAGCAGCCCTGCAAGCTACTTTGCACACCATGTTTTCTTTGTTATGTCCTCCCCTGAAACATAAATTATCAGTAAATGCTGGAGTAAAGATCCAGGACTTGATGGACCAGCTGGTTGATCTGACATGGCAAATACTTTGTTCCTCACATGAACAACCAGTTTCTTCTTCCTCTTCCACCCCCGTTTTAACCATCTTTGAGTGTTTGTAGTCCACAACGAACATCTGATCTTTGTATGACATGAGTTTTTTTTACTACACTTATTACTTTCAAACCACAAAACACAAATTAGCAGCCTTTGGCATACTTCCTGTTTCAATCATACTCATGTTTACACTCTGAAGAGATGTTGGCATCATTTGAAGAGTTTTTCTATTACTAATTTTCACTTTGTTCTCAAAAATGTGCACTGACAATCTCAGCTTGTCCAGAGGAGGGCCACAAAAATGGTTAGAGGGATGGGACACCTCTCCTACAAGGAAAGGCTGAGCGTTGGGGTTGTTCAGCATGGAGAAGAGAAGGCTCCGGGGAGACCTTATTGAAGCCTTCCAGTACTTAAAGGGGGCTTATAAGAAAGATGGGGACAGACTTTTTAGCAGGGTCTGTAGCAACAGGACAAGGGGTAATGGTTTTCAACTAAAAGAGGGCAGACTTAGACTAGATCTAAGGAAGAAATGTTTCACAATGAGGGTGGTGAAACACTGGCGCAGGGTGCCCAGAGAGGTGGTAGATGCCCCATCCCTGGAAACATTCACAGCCAGGTTGGACGGGGCTCTGAGCAACCTGCTCTAGTCGATGATGTCCTTGCTCACTGCAGGGGGGATGGACTAGGTGACCTACAAACGTCCCTTTCAACCCAAAGATTCTATGATTCTATGATACACGAAGTAACTAACCTCAAAAAAAACCAGGCAGCAGAGCTATTTTAAATGGCAACATGCCATAATGAAAAGCATTATATCCTGATAGAGCACTATAGTTCTAAAAGATCCTAAAGCATTCAAGCTCACATTTAGATAGCCTCAATCTCACTTGTGACCTTCCTTTGCTCTAGTTTAGACAACATCCCACTGGGCTGCTGTACTACACCTGCAGAGGCCACTCCCTCTCTCCACTGAGAAAGCAGGTTGTCTAAAGACAATGCTGAATGGGTTTAAAACATCAGCTAAATACAGGCAATTCTGAATGGAAGTTGGTCTTCCAGCAATGCAACAGCATCTTCTGCAGCTTGGCTGAGAAATTTAGCTAGTATGTGATAACCAGAAAGTATTACAGTAGCTTTAATTTTTGTACAGAACAGACAAATTCATTGTTTTGAAAGGTCATGACAGTAGATCGCAAGGAATTCAATTTATCTCCCTCTGATGGATGAAGGACTGAGTCAAACATAGCACAGTGGAAAACTCTGGCTCCAAGAAGTCTGTGCTGGTTCAAACCTGCTCTTAGGCAGCTAAACCATCCTTTCAGCTATACGTTATTACAGCTTGTGATTTTCAAGTGATCTTTTTCCCCAGCTATGCTACTGCAGCAAACTGTGTCATACATGAGCGTCAAAAGAGTGGTCAATACATGAAGAATTTTTTTGTCTTTAACCAGGAAGTTAATCCAATACAAAATTATTTGTGATACAGACATCATCATAGTTGTCTCACACTCATGTCTCCACATGTAAGGTGACATATGAAAAAAGTACAGGGAGATACATGGGGGAAAACAGCATCAGCACAATACAGAAAGACAAATACTGGAAGAGCAAACAAGCACAAGGATTAGAAAGACCACGAAGACAGAAAATCAAACAATACCCTGAGCCTCACATGTTTTAGCTTCACAGTACACCCAGGAGGAGAGTGACAGACCAGTAGCACACCTGATTTAACAGGCTCCTTGTTTATAACTGAGAAAAACAGATCTAGTGAGCAGATCATTCCTGACCGGATGTATGACTTAATGCAATAACTCTTACCTAAAGCTTTCCGGGTATTCAACAACAGCCATGTTGATAATATCCAGTGCATGCTGATAGTGCTTCTGAGCTGAAAAGAGGAGGGCCAGTAGATGAAGTGAATTCATGTCATCTTTGCACAGTTGCAGTGCTTCTTGAAGATGTTCTATAGCATCAGAAATCTGAGAGAACATGGGGCAGAAATAAAAAGAGAACACATTTCTCCTTTAGTCCTACGTTATATCCCAAAAGTAAGAACAAATAGTCATTAGAAATTCTGAAGAAATCCTACTTAGGCACCTATGAGAAAGACCTCTACTGTCTGAACAGTTTGCCAACATCAACAGACTGCACTGATTGAAAAAAACCCACACATTCTAGAGAGAGGATTCTGCAGCATTACTGCTTATAAACAGGAGCAGCAGACCTCATCCAATCAACCCCCTCTTACTTTGGCATGGTGTTTCTACACTGTAAACAGATCCGCTACAGAGGCCCAATTCTCAACTCCATTTTCTAGTATGGGTGGCTGGCTCTTCACCTGAGGGAAAGCATTACACATCTCTACTGTATTTTGTCTCTTGTGATGGCTGTACAAGGCCTTTCATGATTTGGATCAAGAACATAAAAATTAAGTTTGAATGTTCAAGGGTAAAAGAGTCAATACACAAAAATATGCTGTCAGAAAAAGAAATGTCTGTGCAAGCAGTGATGTAAAGAGCAGTCTTGACACTCACAGCAGCAGCATGTCATTAGAATCAAGTCTCACTTGGCAGACAACTTAACATCTATAATGAATGCAAGTACATCACATGCTCTTTGTGATCCAATACTCTATTTTAGACTATCTGCTCAAAAGGGAACTTCTTAGAACATTTTCTTTCATTTGTCTACCAGTAAGTTTTATACAGAGGATTTTCTTTAAGATTCTCTAGTGTCTGAAATTAATTACTGTTACTTAAATTATTCCAGATCTGTGTCTGGCCCTGGAAGCCTAGGGAAAACAAAACAGAAAAATGTATACATTTTTCCTCATATACACTTTCCCCTTTCCATTCCCTTAAGGGATGGAAAAATGTAGTTCCTTCTTTCCTACTACAAGAACTTCCCACCTAGCAAAGCTCTCTCTACAGACATTCTCCTGCCTTGGCATACCACCAGTGTCAAATTCCCACCACCTCCACAGATCACTGAGGAAAACAGCTAGCACGTAACTAAGAAAAGCAACAATTACACTGCCTGCAGTTACAACAGAGGTTGCTGATCATCTAGATTCCAGGTATACTTCTGGGAGCATAGTACATATTCTGTTCATGGGATAGCTTCATCCTAATGTCCAAGTGACATTTCACTCTTACTGTGCATATGCACGCCAAAGTACTTAACCACTCTATTACTGGTGACTCCATGCAAGTCTGGAGATCAGTGCGACTGCTCCACAGACATAACCCCAAACTGGCATCTGGCCCACAGCTTCAAAACTGCTGAATGTCCTGGCTTAGATTCAGGTTGGGATATATGACTGAGTGCTCAGCTTTAATGAATTACTGCTTGTCAGTGGAGCTTCTTTAATCACATGTGTTGTTATAGCCTACTGCAAAGGTAAGTACATCAGCAGCTTACTAGGACACATTTTCTTACAATGTAAAAACACTAGCAATGACAAGACAACTTGGAACCGGGACAACAGGCATGAGACTGTGGTGGGCCCAGATCTGGCAAGCCACGAAGTTCTTCAGTAGGTATACCACAGCTATATAAATTTGACTTGCTTTAATGAAGCTCCTGTCAAGACTCTTTTTGCACTCAGGAGTAAACACAGCTCTAATTTTTTCTATTCCTCTGTTTCAGACCTACACAAGTAGTCATAAAGAAATTCCATGTTTGGGAAAAATAAGTTCATTAGAAGAAAAAGAAAATCTGTAGACCAAACAACTGGAGGAGGCTTTGAGCAACCTGTTCCAGCTGACCCTGCTTTGAGCAGGGATTGAATAGGGTGATCTCTAGAGGTCCCCTCCAAACTCAACTATTCTATGATTCTCTTCAAAGACTTGGGAAGGTGATCCTAAATTCCTAGTACGAAGCAGACAAAGAATAATACTTGCAACTAGTGTCTTTACTGAGGGACTTTGTAAGGATACTTGACCTTACTTGCATGTGAATGTGCAAACCAAGTCACTAAGACTTAAATGTCCAATGATCACACAACTGCAAGTTCACACTCCTAACAGAGGCCAGCTATCAAAGAAGCTCTCTGACTCTCTTGCAACATACACAAAATAAAGCAGCACAAAAGTCAGTTGTGGTTGCTTCTGCAACCTGCAGGCAGTCACATACTGTTGAAATAAGTGTAATCTAAAATGATTTTCCCCTGTTCTGTGGCATAGGCCTTACAATAGTTACATCTCATTTCAGCACTTCCCTCTAGTACCATCAGAGTCACAGGCAATGGCTGGTTTTGGAAGTTAATCATGCTTCCCTGACACCTAACTGTTTCACTTTGAGCCCAAAAAGATTCTTTAGTGATGTAACACCATTAGTAGCCTACACAGTACTGCTGCATAGTTAGAAACAATGGACAAAACACAGATTAAAAAAAATAACCTTTAATATTGTGAAGAGACTCTATTCCTTTATGGGAAGCATTATACAAAACAGCAACCTGCAACAGACCAGATACAATGAAATACAAACTAAATTTCAAACTAAAGAATAAAAGCAAGATGTTTGGCAGCAGTCAACACAAGCTTCTTTTGAAAAGCAGAGATCATCAATCTATTGACAGATGCCCCAGTTTATTTATTTAAGTAACTATGTAATACGAGGAATGGAAGCTGGCAGCCCAGACGGCACCCTGAAACTTCAGGGCTGTGTCAGAGGTAGGCTGCCAGTTTAAATTCCCTACAAGTGCTGCGCTTTAAAGCTTCTTATTTCAGCTAGACTGCAAGTCGAAGTGGGGCCTGCGATTAGAAGATGTTACCCTTCTCTGATTCATCTTTCTGTTAATAAATATACCACAAGTGTTCTGCATGGCACACAGGTATATTCAGATCACACTGATTATGAAGCAAAGATATTGCAGTAAGCCAGAAATAGCATCTTGCAGCACTACCAAAATAATGCCACAATATGGATTGTTTAGACTGCCTCTTATGTAATAGGATTTATTTCAATAATGCTATATGCTTCCTTAAAAACAATGCTGGGATGTTACAACTGTAGGTATAAAAGGGAAAACGGTATGAACGTTAAAAATAATTCCAAACAGTAGAATGCACTTGCACAGTTAGAATGGTAAAATGAAACAGGATCTTGTAAGAGGAGTTTTCAGGCCTTATAATTTCATATCAGTTCTGAGTTACAGTTAATTAACCATTAAAAACTATCCTCTCCATCTCTTTTCATAGCATGGGGATTATAGAAAGGAGAAAGCTTTATTGACTGGCAAAGAGCTTCCATTGGAAACAGACTTGCTACAGTCCACCATAACTTCAGGAAAGCAGGCACAGACATATCTGTGAATTAAGTTATGACTTAATTCTTACTACAGGCTGTTTTTGATCACCAGAAAAATCTAGGCGAGGACCTAGACAGAAAAGCAGCATGTTACTTTTCAGCAGAGGAAGCACTAGCTGATTTGGGAGAAACACAAACCAGAACTACCCACATCCAGCAGTTGCTGAAAGAAGCACCTCTTGATGCCTTCTGAAACAGAGCTCCCCTCCTGGGGCAAAGACAAGACAGCAGTCTCTCCTTCCTGAAACCGGGAAAATACTGTGGAGAAAACAGCTGAAATATTTTCTCTGGTGTCTTAACTGATGTTTATCTTATTTTTACATCCAGACACTCTGGAAGGCAGTAGGTGTTTTTTGGATATTGCCACTCGAAACTTCAGGTCTGTTGGCAGCCCACAGATGAAATTGATAAGTGAGATCCCTAATTCTCAGCTGCTGGCCCCTGGCTGTCTTTCCCTTCCTATTTTCACGCAAAGAAAGGTCAAATCAGATCAAGTATTAAAATGGTACTAAACCCCCCATATGTTGTTTTATGTATCTGACACTGATTAACATGCCATCCAAGGTCAAAAACAACACCGCCACCCAAAATGAGAAGGGACAGCACTTAAAATTAACAAGAGCACTGACTTTCTGGAGTCATTTCCATAGAAACTGGCCTGCTAAAAAACAAGACAAGGCATTAAAATCAGTGAGCTTTAAAATGTTCATTCTCCCTTGTTTTTGCTGATCCAAATGCTGTTACCACAGAAACAGGAGAAGCAGCCGAACCAGCCGCCAGGAGTTGGGAGTTAAAGTCTCATTTGTCGATCGGCTCGGCTGGCTGCCAGTCAGGCACTGCAGGTGGAAATAACCATCACAGCAAATACTGACTTTGGCCTCATGGCACTTCAGCTTTGGGGGAAAACCACGAGTTGAGACCCTCCTTACAGAAGAGGCTATTCTACTCTGTTTTGCTGAAAAATCCACCCTAAAATGCTGTGGGGCTGACCTAGACTCTCCAGGAGTCACTGGAGTCCTCCCAGGGACTCTGGTGGTCTTTAAGACACAGAGCCACACACACAAATACAAGCACGAAGCACCTCATCATCATCTTTCATTTTGGTTGGTGATGGTTTTCGACTGCCAACTCTATGAAAGCATTTTATAACCATTCCTCCTCTTGTCACGTCCTCATCGCATGTCAGAGGGAAGCTTATGCTTTTCCATTTCCCCTTTCCCTTGCCCAGTGCTGACAGAGACAAGAGCTACTGGAAATATTTTAGAGTCTTCTGAGGAAGATGAATTGCTCCAACTTTGCTTGGCACTCTACCGGTCAGCTGCCTCTCTTGCTTTGTTCCATGAAAAAGCTCTCTTATCTATGCAAGCTGATACCTAGATTTTTCAGTGTTGGGTAAGGTTACCTCATTTATTGACCCCAACTATGGAAACAAAAAGGCCTGTTTCCCGAGAATAACATTCAGGTATTATGTTATAACCTACTGCATAGGAATGGCCTGATTTGTTGGTACTGTAGCATTGCCTGATGAAAGTCCTAACTGTGACGTTCAATAGTTAATGCAATCTATCAAAAAAGGTATCATTTATCTTTCAGTTAATCAGAAGGAGAATATATTAGATACTTTAAATAATTAAAGATATTAAAAATGCATTACCAAATGTTTATCATTAAGTAAACTGGCAAAAGAAGAGTAGGATATTTTACAGCAGTCTAAAAATAAAGATGTCTCAGGTATCTCCTCTCTCTCCAAGCACGCGTTAAAGATTTATATCTCACTAGATGGAGAAGAGCAGGAGCAGCATCGCAGGGGTCAGGCTGACACCACATAACACACTTAGATCACACATCTATGGTAGCAGGGGTGACTGGCAGAACATCAAGGATGAAAATACACAGGTGAGGTAGACAAAAGAGAACGTGAACATGAGGACAAGAGACTGAATGGAAAGAACAAGAGGGAAAGGAAAGGATGAAATGAGACATACAAAACAATACTGAAAGACAGGCTACAACTGGAGAAAAAGAACGGGTAGTAAGTTAAAATGCAGTAATCTGACAGTGAAAACAACAAAGAATCAATGACCACAAAAATCTTGATTTTATTTTTAAGGCGAGCAGCTGAAAAGCTGTAATGCTTTTACTCATGGCAAGAAACAGAAGAGGCAGCAGATCAGAAAACCTCCCTAAGAGGCAAAAGCTGTGAGAGAAAGAAGGGTAGCTGGATATTTTTTAATGAAAGACCCTGAGCAAACTGCATCATAAAGCAACCAGTAGGCTGATGAAAAAGTTAAATAAGCCATTTTAATTACCCTTTCTTATTGCAGGCTTCCTCACAACACATTGCTCTCATTATGAAAGGGTTACAAAAGTGACATTATCAAGAGTGTGCTCTGTTGGAACAATTAGTTTAACCTAACAAACACATAGGTCCCCTAATTAGTTCAGGAAAGTAAGAAGGATCCAACTGTTTGACTCTGTAGTGTAGACTAAGGAGAGGAAACTGCAGCAAGCAGAAAGCCTGCCAAAGAAGGAAACTATGATGATGAAATTTCAAATCTAGAGAAGCATTTAAAAAAAATAAGGACTGCTCCAATAAAGACTGACTTTTAATCAGAAGGGACAGAGAAATAAAACACATCCCAATTATAAAAAGAAGGGACAGAAAAATAAAGCACAGCCCAAACGTTTTTTCTGAAAGGCAGTGCAGTGTATTTTCTGATCAGCTTAATTTTTATGAGTTAACACCTGCAGCAGCATTTAAATGCCAACTAATCCCACTCACTGCAGAGCTCCAGCACCCGTCAAAGCCCAACACCAAACGTGCCCAAGTATGGAATAAACCAATCCCCAGTGCCGAGAGCATGCGATCTGGCGTGATACAGAACTGGGCAGTAACAAGAGAGCCTTTGGAATGGCCCGCAGCAGGACACAGTGTGATACCCAGGGAACAGGAATAAACACACCTCGCTTGCCCCACAGGGACAAAGTTGCTCCAAATGGGAACAGCACTGCTTAGGAGTTAGAGCTGAATGCATGCTCTAAGGAAGGTTGTTGCATGTGCTATAGAATTACTATTTAAAAAAAAAAAATTCTTCCAGGTGCATACTCTGATTCATTGTCATTGATTACAATGTAGGAAGGAAGGCACCCTGTTTAGCAAGTCTGAGTCTTGTTCAACTGGACTGTCCTGCTCCCACCCTCTCAAGACTCAGTGGTTGCCAATTACTGCACATACCTGTCTGACAAGAGCCAGCTGCAGCGATAGGTAGAGGATGATTTGGTGATCTTCCGGGGCCAAGTCACGCGCTCTTTAAGGAGGACAACACAATACAAAAAGAAAAGTGACTGTTAGATTGTACTTTGCAGACCTCCTTTGCCATGGGTCACACACAAGCACAGAACAAAACCCAGTCCTCCCCTACAGAAAACTAGTCCAGTAAAGTAATGGGGGAGCACACCAAAACTAGACAAAAAGCAGACTGATGCTGGCCTGGCTAAGCCAGGCTCACAGGAACAAACATGAGAAACACAACTGCCAGGATGTTATACAACTTACATGCTCCTTCATTAAATGCCACTTAATGTTTTGGAACTTGGGTAACTGATATGGAGAGAGTAGCTCTTAACTCATACAAACCCATTGAAGCATTATTTTAAGTAACATGAGGGAGACAGTTGTCCAACTTGTTCTTATATCGCCACTTTTCAAACAATAGCAGAGGGTTAGGTTAGCACTGAAAAAATGATAATTGTTTCTGCTATTATTGTGACTGTAAGCATGTAGAGGACTAATGATCAGGAGCCCATGATGTGAGCTAGTGCTCAAACACACAAAACATCCTCCACCCTGCAGCTTCTAGCCTAATCGCTGACAGTAGACTCCTAATTTGGAAAGGGAAGACACTGAGGGAGGAGTGAGGATTTGGTGGCAGGAGCTGAGCCTGGACCAAAACCAAGGCCCTTACTTATCAAGCTTGGACCTCTTATAACCTTCTAGTTTGATACTGATAGTATTGATATTACTTTCTAGTCCACAGCAGGCAACAGTGTGCACTGCAGTGACCCCTTGGCTGCAGTGTCTTCAGAACCAGATGTGGAGGCCCTTCACATAGGCTTGTGCAAGGCAAGCAACAGGGACGGACACCCAGGGCAGAACTGTCCCTCTCAGACTATGCTAAGCATGAAACTGCAGTCTGAGCTTGCTAGCCTGTGGAGAAGCCATTAACCAAGGCAACGTGAAGATAGCGTTTTGGGGACCTAACATAAGAGCAATGTGGGACACTGGCTCATGCCACACTGGCAGTCCAGCCCAGGAACCATTGGATTATCCCCTTGCTGACCCACAGAGCTTGCTCCTAGCTCTGCAGCACAGGGAAGTCATTTCACATGGAAGAGATGGAGAAGAGGAAGGTCCCTGGTAGCCAAATGACATTCCTGACCTCTCTCTGGACTGCGTTCCAGGACACCAGGGAAGTCTGCACCTGCATTGTCCTGCCCAAAGCAAGCATGATTAACATCCTTATGAGGGAGAAACAACAGGCTGACAAGGCTGGTGGTTAAAAACCCTGCCAAAACTATTAATTTGCTAAAAATAATAAACAAACAAATAAACAAAAATCAGAGAATTACTTCAGGAAACAAACCACACACCATTTTAATGGCAGCTACCTCTCAAATGCTATCTTGGCTGTGAGCAAGAAACTGTTGGAGTTAACTTTTATCACTAATGGCTCTAGAATGAATTAATTTAATATAGACGAATGTGTCCTGTAATTCTGCAAGTCAAGGTAGCACTCAAGGATTCTGATGCAATGCCAAAGACATTAAGGTGCAATTAGTACAGGCAACTCAGTAATTTCTCCCCCCACTTCAAAAAAAACCAACCCTCCCTCCAAAACCCAACTAAAACAAACCCCAAACCCAAACAGCAGCAGCAACAGGACTCCACAGGATAGAACCCAGCTTTGCCCCAAGCTGCTGGTGCAGGGTGAGTCGCCTCTTTAGCAAGCGGCTCCTGTGAGAACTTCAGTAGTAGTCTTTCCAACAATAAATAACAGGGGAAAGTTCACATGGGTGTATGGAAGAAGAGATTAATGGTGTTTTTGGAAAGAAACAAAGAGTTGTTACTTTACTGTTCAGTTTCCTCACAAAGTATTAGAAAAATACACGATCCAACCTTCCAGCTGAACAGGCCACTTATAAAGATGGCTACAGGCTAAACCATGGCCTGAGAGATCATGTATGTACTTTAAAAACAGGTGAAAAGGAAGATCAAAAAAAGAAAGAACTCAAACTCAGGCATTAGGAAGACACTAGTAGTAAGCAGCTCACTATCACAACATCCCTGTTGGCTGAAGTTTGAGTACCTACTGTTTGGCTAGAAGCTTGTCTGATTTGTAGCTAGAATTAAGATACCATGAAAACAAGCCACAGCCAGTGGGAAAGGTCAAAGGATACAAATAAATGCAGTTTAAAAAGCACTGCAGCAGCACAATTACATCAAAATCAGGCAGTAGTGAAAATATTACATTGGAGCCCAGGAACTAGCATGACTTAAAGTATACTACTGATGTAAAAAGTGACTGAATAAATGGCTTTTTAAAATTTTATCTTTCAGATATCCATAGGGTAAATATCCAGAATTACATCTGTGGTTTCAGCTTACCATATGCTCTTGCAACCACTGCAAAACAAACATGCTGGACTCCTCCCCACTCAGCATCAGAAAAACAGCTAAGATCCAGTAACATGTTCAACTTGCTACAATCTGTACTTTGATATACCAAAGATCTCAAAGTTTCTTCACTTCTGTAATTAATGTATTTATGACCACAGCAAACTCAGAATTAGATACTTCAGCCCAAGACTTAGACCACATAAGCTTCCATTTAGTTGCCATCCAAAGCGTGTCGGCATCTACATTTACAATGTTAACTGCCCAAACACCACCTAATGTATTTTGGGCACTGTAACTTAGTCCTAACAGGGTCAAGAAGCTCACACCTCACCTCTACCACAACAGAACTGACAAAAATGATTTTTAACCCAAGCAGTTTTACTTGAGGTAACTGTAGTTGCAGAGATTTTCAGGGCAGAGCCATTGGATCAGACTCCCCCACAAAACAAAGAGGTGAAGAACAGGCGAGTGGCAACTGCTTTGTACCGCTAGCTCCATACCCCCTTGATGTAAACACTCATTAGGACAGCAACCATCCCCTCCGCAGTAAGTGCACCAATGCCAGGTCACCCCATGGCAGCCTGGTGGTGAAGGTACTTTCCCAACACGAGGGAAACAGGAGTTGAAGCCTGTTTCACACAGGAACAGACACAAAAGTAGTTCTCCACATTCACCTGCTGGCGTCATTTGAGGAAGCTGCATCTCCCAGCACTGTAGATCTCACTGCAGCTTGATTTGGGGCCAATGTTATTTCTGTTTAGTGGCAGAACAGGTACTCTTACCTTGGATATTCAACCAAATAATCACTGCATTTAGCCACCACAGGAATGGTTTTGACAGACTATTGCTGAAATCTACTGAACTGTTCTTAAACTTTCAGGCAAGGAAGCCTTATGCAGAAGAAAACCCAAACATGAAAAACAACAATTATTCTGAATTCATCCAAAGAAATACACAATGCAAGCATCCGCAAGATTCCTACTCACCTCTCCAAAGTCTGAAGTGCTTTCTTGTTTAATTCATCCTGAGTGCCCTTCAGAGTAGCTGCAGGACAAGATACAATGCAACTTAAGAGTTTAATTCAATGTTTCCAACTAAATAAATAAGTAGTTACACATGCACAGAGCATTTCAAACTGGGAGCATAAAAACTGCAGAAATCTGGTGGTGTGTGTGTGTTCATGCCTGGAAAACATGCCATTTCGTTTTTAAAGAACAGCACAAAACCAGTATTTTAACCTGAATTCTCAATCTAATTTTTATTAAAGACTCTTCCAACTCCTTTGAAATGCCCAAGCATTTTTTATTTGCATATGCCACTGAAGGGGTCTGGGAGGAGAAGGGGACATACAGTAACTAGATACCAAGGCCCTCTGCCAGGTTGGTATATATGCTAAAAGCAGTAACTAACAGCATATTCTGACTCAGATACAGACTGTCTCCACCACTGTCTTCACGTAGGAGGGTGTTGCAGGTTGAACAGGGAACTACCAGGAGCCAAATTCACAGCTCTGACAAAACCCTTGACAACATACCACCTCCCTTGAGAACACAACAGACTTTTAGGCTACTTCAGGTGTGGCATTAGCCACTAAAGCCCTCCTTGGTGTCTCTAATTGCTTGACTAAAGGATGCTGCCCACTACGCTCACTTCCCAATGTGTGAATTAATTCCTAGCCGAAACCATAAAAGGAGAAGAATCAAGTTCTTGTTATGCCAGGATATCATAAGATATCATCATCATCAAGAGCAAGGGGAATGGAGGAAGAGCTTAGAGAAGCATGTCTTTCTCAGATCCAAAATATCTGGAAAGCTAGCAATAATTTTCAGAAGTACACTGTCTGTCTTGTTCTGGTTCTTAGTTTTCAGATTTTGCACAGCAGTTGTTTCTTCTTGTGCCTACCCTGAATTTGAGGGCTACTGATCAACAGCACAAAGTGATGAGTAGCTAATCGATCAGCAAACAGCCACCTATGAATACATTTGACTTCATACACCAAGTCAGTGCAAGCTCCAGAATAGGAAGTTAGTAAGTAGTATATACTTCAGCAATAAAGTCAGATAAAATTCAAGTATTCTTAAAAGTTATTAAGGGGAGAGACTTGTGTTCTTCTACAAGATGTACAAAGGTAATCAGTTTCTTTGGATTCTGCAACATGCTAGTGAGTGAAACTTCAAGTAATTTATTTTGCTGAAGTAGTTATAGTGATCAGGCCTTTTTTATTCCTACATCTTCCAGCAGTTCTTCAAAACACCGGATTCATTTGGGAGGAACACCAATCTTCAGGATTTCCCAAATAATAAAAGATCAAAAATTGCTTATGCCCCAAAATCTACTCTAAGTAGTAAAAATTTAACAAAAAATTTGCAGATCAAAGAATAAATTTCAAGACATGGAATTTCATGCAAAATGCAGCATTTATTAGAAGTAGCTGGAAATGCTTCACTCTTAATAGCCTTAAATTGAGTATTCAGGTCCACTGCCAAATACTGGAAAAAGGTAACAGAGGAGGAAAATTTAGGAAAAATTAAAAGAATCAACATTGATGTAAATATAAAATACTTGATGATACATCACAAAGGATGTGATCATGTGATCATGGATGTTCATCCAGAAAAAATATGTCAAGATTCTCATGGAAACTGCAAGATTCTTTATGTAAGTTACAGAGCAGTTCTGGAGATGCCACACAATGAGGAAGACTGAAAGAAATTTTACTATTTGCCCTTCAGAATAAACATCAAATGGAAAAGCTAGCAGAACTTTTAAGTTCCACCTGGTGAGACATTCGACTGATGTTCAGGTTGTAGTTAGAAAAGAGCACAGAATGTGTTATGGAAATGAAGTGATTACTCTACAACTAGTCAGCTTTGCCTCTGCACTACTGGGAAACAGCATGTGAGTCCCACCTCCCACAACATGAACTGTATTTTCAGCTACAACTAAATGGGAAATTTGGTTGTCCATCTCTAGATTTGTATCTGACTTTGATAAACACTTTGAAATTTGTGTTTGACAATACTTAGGACTGATGCTGCAGGTTACCCATGCCATCTACAGGGTCTTTACAGCTGAAGGAGGTAAAATAGAAAAAAAAGTAATGAAAAGTGATTTGGGGAGGGATACATAAAAAGCACCAGGTTGAGGGAGGTGATTTCTCCCCTCTGCTCTGTTCTTATGAGACAAGGCAGACAGGGGCCTGTTAGAGCAGGTCCAGAAGAGGACCATGAAAATGATCAGGGGGTGGAACACCTCTCCTGTGAGGACAGCCTGAGAGAGTTGGGGTTGTTCAGCGTGGAGAAGAGAAGGCTCCACGCAGACCTTATTGCAGCCTTTCAGTACTTAAAGGGGGCTATAAGAAAGATAGAGAGGGGTTTTTTTGCCAGGGCCTGTAGTGATAGGACAAGGCGTAACAGTTTTAAACTAAAAGATGGAAGATTTAGATTAGATATAAAGAAGAAATTCTTTACTATAAGGGTGGCCAGACACTGGAACAGGTTGCCCAGAGATGCTGTGGATGCCCTACCCCTGGAATTGTTCAAAGAAGTTGTTGTCACTGCAACCCACTTGTATCACTGAAAAGCTCTCACTTTAGACAAAGAAAAGCTTGCACCAAGGAGACAGAACTAGGTGGGCCTGACTAAACTGCTAAAAGTTGTGCTCCATTTTCAGAGGTTGACAGCACAAATGAATTCCTCGGCCTCTACTCAGCTTTACCTACTATGAGCATGGCTGCTGCAGTTCTACCAACTAAAACACAGTATGACTTATTACTTAGATTAAAATGGCCTGCAAAGCCATCTTTGCAGACATAGTAAGGCAGAGAGCACAGGGGAGTTTAAGTTTCTGAAACCTCAGCAGTTATTCCTGTAAGACACATTACTTTCGCAAATGCCACCTTAGGATCCCAAGACTTACTTTCTAAACCACTCTGGATTTTTAAAGGAGATTAAGCCTTACTAAAAGTCAACAGATCTTCAGAAACATTTTAGTACCTAAATACAAAGCTCTAAAGTCACATTTGAAAACAGAGGAGGGCAAGTTCTGTGTTAGTAAGCAGGTGCAGCACAGTAGGTGTGAATGCACAGAGTGAAACACTTACTGCTGAGGATCAACATCAACACTACAAACACAGGTACAGGGGTCTAGTTCTAGTCTTCTCCTGTGGACTGAAGACCTATTAGCAGCTGCAGCATAATCAGGTCTATTTATGTAACCCATTAGTTTTATGGGAAAGAATTCAGTTTGTGTTGTGCAAAACTGTTCTATTATGTGAATCACAACATAAGAAGTGGGGATGATGAAGAGATGGACTTCAAAAATACATTTCTGATCCAAACTAAAATACCAATGCACATGCACCCTTTTGCACATAACAGTGGGTTTCAAAAGCATTCCTTTGTGTTAAGACACCTAATAAAGCAAAGTGTACAGTTTTAGGACCCAGAATCATAATTAAAGATTGCATGTGTTGACTGTTATGTCCAGAAGCAAAAATGATGGGTTTGTTCACTAATAAGCAATGTCTAATTTTTTTTTAAACATTAACCAGTGCTATCAGTATACAGATTATTTATAAAATCCACAGACTGATAGAAAAAGTATCCAATTCAGTCCCAGATCCATGGCCTTATACCAAAATCATAAACGAAAACAGAGATACAGAACACCCTCTTATCTCTGAAAGAGTGAGGGTCTGTTGAAGCTACAAAGATTTCACAAGATGTGAGGTGGTGATGTTAGGTAAGAAGAGCACTTGTATCTCACAATGCATTCTCCACCTGGTCTTTCCTCTTTAGCCTTTGTTAAATTCACCTCACCTTCCCCTGTCTTCAATGGATTCTTCACCAGACCTAAGGGAGGCAAAGTTGACAATACAGCTTATGTCAAAACTGGAACTAGAGGAAGAGAAAGGTTTGCTGTTGACATTGACCTATTGGGAATAGATGTGCAGAAAATTTAGTGTAGAATAAATGGACTTTCTGTACGAACAAGAGATTTGTGCTTCTAAGAGTAAGGCAAAAGTGGCAATGACTTCCTCCAAGGACACATCTTTCAGCTACTTCAATAAGACTTATTTCAAGAAACATGTAATTAGACATTAAGAACAAGGAAGCTACACATACGCTAACCCGCATAAGTTTCAGGAAGTCTTATTTCATCCAGAAGTAAATCTAATAGTTGTAAAAAATGTAAAGTGACTTTTTTTCAAATGGTCCCACAAGTTCTTTGAATTGTCATTCAGCAAGGTTCTCTCTTCTGACTCTGCTTTTTAGTAAAGTGCTTTTTGCAGGTCACAAATAATACTTAACTCTTCAGTGCCTCTGTCACATAGGAGGAGAAATATTTAGTAAAAGGATATATTAAATAGGAAAGCTTAACCTTGGATGGAAGGCATCTTAACATAATGCTGTAAGTTTTATAATGCAGTTGGTCAAATGTCTGTGAAACACTTGGCTATCATTGAAAATGCCGACTCACTGAAAGTCAGCTCAAGTGGAAAGTTATAGGAATCATATATATACACAGATGTTTGACTGTGCGTCTGCATATGTCACTATGAGCTGGTATAAACACAATGATAAGATTGACAGTATGAGGCAAGATTACATAGAGGAGTTGCTATCTTCCTTTCAGCATGTTCTACTCTTGCTTCCTCACTGTCATAAGCTATTTTTAATGAAGCTAATGAAAAAAGTCTCGTTAGTGCAAATTTGACATTTTCTAGTAAAATGCTGTTCCATATTCATGATTATCATAAGCATGCTTTTGAAGGATTTGATCAATTTTATTAAAATATAACCTGAAAGATTTTCCTCAAATAACTGAAAAATTGGCCCTATGGACTTAAAGGCTAGAGATACGCGGAGAAAGCAGGTATTCCAATGTTTCACAAGGTAAATCAGATGGTAATCTGGGAAAAAAAAAAAAAAAAAACAAAAAACCTAAGGCAGTTGTTGTGAAGACCGTTTCTTTTACGTTACAAAGGACACTTATTGCAACATCTGAACTAATCTCTTGAAAACTCAGAGAAGACTTTTCTTCCAGAAGAAGTTTCTAATGTGCATTTTGCTGCACCAAAGTATTTTTAGAGCCAGAGTACAGAATATGCCTCTACAACCCCATTCTTTAGAAACCACCTTCTTTCCATACTGAGGATAACAAATAGATCATAATGGACTAACCTTCTATCTCGGAAAATAGTCTCTGGGATCTCGTATGGTTTAAGGGACAGCTTAAACAAAACCTTGGCAAAATGCCCTAAAAAGTTAGGCTGTTAAGCAGAACTCAGTGTTTAATGAACTTAAAAAAAAAAAGTATGAGAAAGTTCAGGCTAGGAAGCACATATGTTTCTTGACATGAACTTTCTAGGGGGAACTATTCTGAGGCAGAGAAATGGAGAACTGAAGAGAGATGCAGTGCCTGTTAGCCTCCATGATGGAAAGCAGAACAGAACAGCTGATCAGATATGGCTGGCTGAAAAAATACACCGTCTTGCACTATGGAAGAGCACAAGCCAGTTCCTCGTACACATGCCTTGCAGAATTCTGGTGTAACTTACAAGGCCAGCATACTTCCATGATATCATACAGTCATTTTAGCTTTGTTTCAGGCTCATTTACTGGAAGAAGTTGGTTCATTTCTATGGGGCCCATCTAACAGAAAAGCCGTTGCTTGCATGTGGGCAGGACTGACAAAGTGATCAGGAAAAACAGTAGCTCAGCCATTATTCAAAGAAACAATGTTAGAAGACCTTCTACCTATGTTAGAATTCATAGAAGAAACAGAGACTGTCCCCACCTGTAAGCTTGATGCAGGTCACAGTTAGAACTCTCCCAAACACTGGGACTTCAAGCCCTTCTGGCTACCAGGGACCAAATCTGCAGCAGCCCATTGTCCAGTCATTCAAAACCCAAGCAAGCAGGATTAAAATAAAACACTTCTTACGTTCAGTGGTCTGTATCTAGTCAACGTCCACACGTACCAGTGAGGTAGATATTTTTATCTTGTTTACTTCTAAGCAGAGAAAGAAACGACATCACAGAGTGGTTGAATCTCTGTGGGGAATCAGTATCATGCCAGGAACTGAAGTCAGGCATTTCTGACTCCAGTTCTTGGATTGTATTTCTTTATGTGATTTACAAGTGGGTGACAAAAATATGAAAATAGATGGAAAGTTTGACTTTTTTTTTGTGTAAATAAGTCAAAGAAATGTATTACAAATATTCAAGTAAAGCACACCAAGCATTGTCAGCTACAGTCAAGATTATCACCACCTAAGTAACAATTTGCATTTTTTCCTTCACCTAAAAACTTTCACCTTTATTACCACAGAAGACAGTTCTCCGAGAAAGTGAGCAGTCCCTATTCATCTTGCAATCTCATTGTTTTTCATGTCCAGCCAGCTCTAAAAGCAGAGTTTCTAATACACTTCCATTGTTTGCACTGAAGACTTTGAATAGATGCTCTCCATACAACACACTTGACAAACAGGATAACTCACCATCAGTAGCTTGAAGACTATATGTCAGGCCCAGTGCCAGGTAACCCTTCGCTAGGGACTCTCCAGCATCCTCACCCAGGTCTATCACCATTTTAGCAAAGTATTCTCCTTCTTCCAGCTGCAAAAGAGGTAGGTTGAAGACTTACAGGCATTTCCGCTGCACGTGCTTCAATAAGATTATCCCATTAAACTTACAGGTAAGTGATCTGAGAGCCATTCATACAAGGGTTTTCAGTGATCACAGTAAACACGGGTAGACAGGAGGATGTAGAAAGTCAGATTAGCAGACCTTGGTGCACACGCACAGCTTTGAGAAGTTTTGGGTTTTTTAAGTATCCACCCCAAACTATTTCCAGATGTTTAAGGTTAATGAAGGACACTATCTTATTTTTGTATTTCACTTCAGGTGTGCTTCAGTCATGCAACCTTACATAGAAATGTTGGACCAACTGACTAATATACTACCCTAGCAGTACATTGAAAGGTCTAACAAATTTCTTCCTTCATAGAAAAACCATCTAGTTTTGCTGTATGATGTTTTTAAACCTTAGTAAATTTTACTTCCTTTTAAAACGTTACAAGAGTAAAACAAGAAAGCACTTTACTGCAAGCTGAGTTCAGCTGCTACTTGCAGTTCTGCTGCCACAACAAGGAGGCAGCAAATTCAGGACACAAATTTTGGTCTGAAATACCACACTACCTTAGGAGCTCATGCTGCACTAGCCACATTTTGCATCTTTTTCAAAGACACAATTTCTTTGAAAATACATTTTATATTACAGATTGTAATGGGAAGAGAAAGCAGGCATGACCTCTCGGGGTCAGCCTCTAAAATGATGAAATATGTAAGTTGGTTTCTTCTACTGCAGCACAGACTGCTCCCCCAGCCTTCCTTTCCAGCTGACCACACAGATCTAAGTCTAATGAAAAAATTAAGCTTTAGTATCTTTAAAATCTGAATTAATGATAATTTTAAACAAAAAATAATTTGAATAGTTTATTACAGAATGGAGTGTTCCCCATGTCTAACCTTAAACTCTCATTTAACATCACTCACCCGTTATAAGTAAAGAAGACCTGTAGACTGTACATATCTGGAAAGGTGTAGGTTGGAGAGGTACAAGCAAAAGCTGTAAGTAATGCCTGAAAGGCACAGAGCCTACAGGAAGACTACATTTCTCTACAAGATAGTTTGCAGATCCTGTCAACCATAATCAGTCATCCCTAATCAAGAACCAGACACCATTATACCATCTGAAAAATCCTCCTTTTGGAAACTTTTATTATATGACAACTGGCTTTCTGGGATGGCGTTGTTTAATTTTGAGGAAATACATTTTTGTTTGAAATCCAACTGTTTTAGATGGAAGTACTGCAGCCATAACTGAAACACGCTCTCTTAATACTCAGCTTTGTCAGATTTCAGCACCTCATAGTTCCTTGCCATCTAAAAGGAGTCACTCGTAATGAACTGGAATCAAAACATACCAGCAGACCAGAAACTTCCTTCTGTAGTGATTTGTTAATATGCCTCCTATGAACAGAATCTACCTGACTTGATGTACTATCCTGTCAATGGGACTCCTAGTTATATCACTTGGAGACATTCAGGTCACAACATTAATTAACAGCTTCATAAACAAAGGAGCTGGTATTTCTCGATGATATCAACATAAGAAAAATTCACTATTAATGTAAGCATGAAGAAAGGTTGAAAAGTGCAAGCGAAGAAGCAATCTGCACTGTTTGTGTCTTTTCCTCAATTGTACAGCTCCCTGAGGCCATACAGTTCAAACTAGACATAGACCAATAGTTCCCAAATTTCTGAAACCTCACGATCAGTCAGCCCAATGATCAACACATATTTTATCATCAAACTCTTTGCTGAAAGCACTATGAAAGCACTACAGTCTTGCTGATTGCCTAGTCAACTATGAATCTGGAAATTACTAACTGAAACAGGAATACACCCTTGGGGCATACTTGGGGCTACCAACTAAATTGCAAGGACTGCCTTTAACAGCATAATCCAAAGTCTACTGAAAACACTTGAAATAGTCTTACTGACTTCAGTGATGCTCAGATGAGACCCTTTAAACTCTGATCACATCAGGAAGACTGAGATTTGTTCCAGGAGATTTCTTAATCCTGTCAGTAGCCTTACCAACTTCCCTGCCACATACTGAAGTGTTTTCTGGACCAGAGCCTAGGGCAATGGAAGAAAAATAATGTCCCATGACTTGCCACACAGAAAAAAAACCCCAAAAAACCCCCGAAAAACCCTTCCCATGAAACAATAACTGAATTCTTCAGCTCTCAGGAACTTTTATGCAAGACATGAAATCTCTGCAGCCAGAAAATTAATTATGCACCTCTTTTGCCACCATAAACAGCTATATTCCCACTCTCTTTCTTCATTGTTTCTCCTCTTCTCCCCACACACACTTTTGTCCAAGAACTCTCCATTAGATCAAGGAAAGAGCTATACAAGGAATTCTAATGACTAGCAAACAAGGGTAGGGGTGGGTAGAGTGTATGAAAAAAAAAAAAGATTAAATGAAAGGTTTGGAGTTGAAATAGAGACATTTAAAACTGGAAAGATTTTGCTCCATTGTTTCTCTGAATGGTCACCTGATGGTGTTTCCAGTCTCTGACTGATGGCCTATGCTGCATAAATCAGCAGCACACCATTCAGCTTTCTTGCCTGCCAGTTATCCAGGGCCACCTGTAAGCATCAGATTAATCTATTGTATGAATAATTAAAACCACAACTTTTCAGAATGGCTGAAAGAGCACTTCTAGCACTAACATTCTTGTAAACATTTATTCATACTAAACACTAATAGCACTTTGACCAGCCACAAAGATTCTCATGAATGCAAACTTGGGTCAGCTGGAGGCTGCTTTGAAAATAAGTGGCCTTGCAAACTCCAGCACAGCTGGTTCTGTTTATGAGAGCATTTACTTTTCCTTCTTAGAGCACTCGGCCACTTACCCTGCCAGCCCTGCTGTGGCTGCCATCTGCCCCCTCTACTCCTGTTCTCCTACTCTTCAATCATTCTGGGCAAGTGTGAAAAACCAAACCTTTCACTCATGTCACCCACTGTGAGGTTTCAACTCTCCAGTGCATCAGTCTTGCTGATTGCCTGGTCAGCTATGAATCTGGAAATCACTAACTGAAACAGGAATACGTCCCTTGGGGCACACTTGGGGCTACCAACTAAATTGCAAGGACTGCTGGTTTGCAGTCTGGATGAAAACTCCCTCTCCATACACCTGAGTGAGGGATCAGTAGTGAGCCTGAGCTGTGATTCACCAGTATAGTTGTGTCCATAGAGGTTCTTAAGCATACAACATGTCTCCACTCTGTGATGTAGCAATGGGAAACGGAGGGGGAAAGCCTCCAAATGAGGCATCAATTCCTCTGGAGTCCCACCAGATACAACCATTGCCAGCTGCAGCTCCTGCATGCTGTCATATGACCTGAAGCAACAGGAGCTGCTCCTGCTTTCTCCTCTCCCCATGTGGTGCTGGGTATGTGAAGTCTCGCCCTGTGGGACTCCCAGAAGTTGTAAGCTCAAGGTACACAGAAGTGAGCTAAGAGAGCTTATCAGGAGAATCAAGATGTCCATTCCTACTCCCACTGCACAGCCAGGGGCCAGCCTCAATGTGGAGGGAACCTAAATGATTCATTCACTTCAGAGAACTCTAATCTTAAGGTGACACAACACTGCATTGGAAGGGCAAGGAACATGGATCAAAACTTCTTACTGTTGCAACTTACAAGCCCTTGCTAGTAAGCTCTAAGCCACAGGATGCCACATGTCCTCCCCCAAAGCAGGCATGGCATGGCACAGCATCACTTTGTGATAAGGAAATACACAGCGTAATGCTGTTACCTGTCTGCCGGCAGCGCCAACGGCAGCTCCCAATACCATGGAAAAGACATTTCTTTGGGCATCAAGAGTGCCAGTAACATCTTAAATTCAGTTTCCCTAGAATCACTACTTGTTATTCTCTCAGAAGCAAGCAAAAAACAGTGTCTCAAAGCCACGCAGATATACCTCCGATTTGGCCCTTACTTTGACTACGTTCTTCTGCATACTTTGCACTGAAATAGCTGATGGAGAGAAGGGCAGCACCACAGGTTGCAGGGAGGTGTTCCCTACCTCCGAGATCTGCATGGAAGAAGGCTCAGAAAGCAGGTGTGGGGAAAAAACAACCTAAAAGGAACTTTTTGGATTTTGAACTCAAGCTGTAAAAATTGTCAGGAGGCACCTGGAAGCACTAGCTAAGCAACCTCTCCACCACGCCAGAAACAAGCACACATCTGGCATCTGGAGAGAGACAGGCTGCCAAACTGTGAGCTGACTCCAATAAGACTGTAATACTGTGGTGGTGTGGGTTTTTCCCCCTGCCTTCATTATCTTTTATGGAAAAGGAACAGTTGTTAGCTGCATAACCCTGATGGATGTTCTCCCTGAAACAGGGAGTGGCTGCTCCAGCCACCCCTGTTATTTGACCGCAGGTTTTGGTGTGTGCCCGAGCCAAGCCCTGGGGCATACTGACAAGGGAGTGGGGAACAGCAGGTGCTGTCCCCTGGCCTATTGCCACCCAGCTGGTTTCCAACTGCCACCCAGCTTGTTTTTAGAAAAGCTCAAGCTCTACCCCACTGAATCAACACCCTCGAGGACTGTAAGTAGGAGCTGCAGTTCTCACAGCACGGATTTAGAACAATTGAGGACAAGCAAATTGATGATGTACAACAGCATGGAAATGGCACCTTACTGCACTGGAAAAGAGGAGTGCCCAAGGGAGGAAGCAGGAGACACAACAAGTGACACTGGACTTAGGACAGCAAACAAGGTTAGTGAAGCAGGGGAGTTTGGACACCAATAAGACTGAGTGATACCCAAGCACATGAGACACCCAAATCCTACAGAAAGTGTATCTATGCAAAATTACACATGATATTGACTAGTTGGATTGACCTCTTATCATTTTTATTATACTGGGTTGTAGGCATAAAGACTAATTCAAAGAGGAGAAGAAATTAAATACTGGGAATAGAGACTGAGAAGAGGAAAAACGCATAGGGAGAAAGTGGCCAATAAGGCA